TGACCAGCGCACCGACTGCCGGTGCGAAGATGCGTTTTTTGCATAGTTCCCCGCAGGTTTTTGTCGCTAACGGCACTTTTTTCGGCACATGCTTCTAGTTAAAAGAAATGAGACTGGCCACTACGACTGTAGGAAAACATTTCCTTAAAATTACAGTTTTCTAGCTTCTCTCGTTCCCGAGTTAGCAACTTACCTGTAAAAAATTTTCACAGGTCTGTAATTGGGGACCAAGCAAACCTTGGGGCTGGGTTTGATCTCATTAATGGGAAGCATTTCCTTAAAATTCCAGCTTTCTAGCTTTTCAGGTTACCTGAGTTAACAGCTTATCCGTCAACAACTTTCACAGGCTCATGCGTGGGGACCACGTCGGCAAGAGCATACAGATTAAGTTCCTTAAGCTTCAGTCTTGTAGTTTTTGTGGGTGTCGAAATGAAAATCGCTGGACACATACACACACACACACACACACACACACACACACACACACACACACACACACACACACGCGCACACACACACACACACAACATACGCACACATACACATGCACACACATACACACACATACACACACACGCACACACACGCACGCGCACACACACATACACACACACGCACACACACGCACAAACACCGACAACCTCTAGGCAATACGCGTTTTTGCATTTGTATAAAAATGAAAAAAAAATAACTGGCCAACGCACGGGCTGCCCGTGCGAAGATGCGCTTTTTGCGTAGCTCCTCACAAATTTTAGTCGCTAACGGCACTGGTTTTTTCGGCAGATGCTTCTAGCTGAAAGAATTTCAGACTGGCCGCCACGACTGTCAGGAAACATGCCTTCAAAATTCCAGTCTTCTAGCTTCTCACGTTCCCAATTTAGCAACTTATCCGGAAGAAACTTTCATAGGCCCGTACGTAGGTACCACGCTTACCCGGGGGCTGGGTTTGAGCTCGTTAATACCTACTTGGACGGGGAGCATTCCCTTAAAATTTCAGCTCTCAAGCATTTCTGATTCCCGAGTTAGCAGCTTACCCGTAAAAAAAATGGCGGACTCTTACATGGGTACGACGCGGGTAATGGCTCCCATTTTGGGGATTGGGGCCCATACGTGCATGTAGATTAAGTTCCCAAAGTTTCAGCCCTGCAGCTTTTGTAGGTCTTGAGATGAAAAAGCGTGACAGACGCACACACGGACAAACAGAAACACACACAGACAACGCCTCGTCAATATGCGTTTTCTGCATTGCATAGCTGCATAAAACGCATACAAAGGTGCATGACAAGACGAACCGGGCAAAACAAGCAGAATGCATGATGATGTCGGCAAAATTCTTTTTCAAAAAACTTTTTTCCTTGTCAAAATCCTTCAGAACTCACACTCTATAAGAAGGAAAGGCATTTAAAAGCCCAGCTGGAATCACATGGCAACAGTAACCATACGCTGTAAGGCTGTTGCTAACTCCTTCTTCCAAGGATTGTTTATCAGTGGAACAAATGAATTAATAGAATGAGTCGACTCTCGGCCCTCAGCCTGATAGCAGAGCTACTTTCCACTGGGCCATACGCATACAAACAATATACGATAATTGCGGCATAATCCGCAAAGTATAATTAGGAAAAGATAAGGCATTTGGCATTTCAAAAATCTATGCTCCATACATATGGTTTCCAACCCATTCTCAAAGAATAATAGCATTTTTCAAAAACACTCCAGCGCTTTTAATAGATAAATACTGTGGTTGAAAGCCCAAACTTATAAGCTCCGTGCCAAAATATCGATTACTAAAACGTTCGTAACATATTTCGAATAATGAAATAAAATCCTCTGGAGCAAAGAAAACTAAATAGCGGCGCGCACCAAGGCACTGCGTGCGATCGTGCATTTTGTACAACCCTGTCCAGCTAACGCTTATGCAGCTCTGTCCAAAGGAATCTTACTATTCAATGTATCATGCCTCTAAAGTTATTAATTCTGATGCCAAAAATCCAACGTTTCGGCACGCCAGACCTAGAAGAGCATGAGGAATAATTTCCATGGATAGGGAGCATTATTCTGAAATTTCAACTTCTTAGTTTTTCTAATTTACGAGTTAATTTTCGCGTGTAAACTTTTACGCGTCCATACGTGAGACCGAGGCGCCCGTGAGGGCTGATTTTAAAAAAACACAACTGCACACAAGTAGGGAACATTATCCTAAAATCTCAGCCGCCTAGCTTCTATGGTTCTCGAGTTAATTTTGGCATCAAGCCTTTCACTTGCCCGTACATGAGACCTAGGTGTGCGATAATGAATTTATACGAGCAGCGAGCACTTTTCTGAAATTTTAGCCTTCTAGCTTTTGCTGTTCCCGAGTCATTAGCTTTGGCGTCAAAAATTGCACGTGTCCCTACGTAAGACCCAGGCATGCAGGGGAGAGGAGAAGCTGAATTTGAGTTTGCGGAGTCATACACGGGCAGGGGACATTCCAAAATTTCATCTTCCTAGCTTTTCCGGTCCCTTAGTTAATTTTCGCGTCAGAACTTTCACGTGTCGGTATGCGAGACCTAAAGGCACGTGAAGGCTGAATTTAACTCGACGAGGTCAAATGTGGGGAAGGAACACTGTCCTAAAATTTCAGCTTCCTAGCTTCTGTGCCTCTCGAGCACCAAAACTTCCACGTGACCGCACCTGAAACGTACGAGCACGCGAACACCGAATACAAAGTCACATGCGGGTACGGCCCTTCCCCTCGACCCTAAAATTTCAGCTTCCCAGCTTCTCTGGTTCGTGAGTTGAAACTCAAAGATAAAAGGTTCGTGAGTTGAAACTTCTCTGGTT